TGTCACTGAAGTGGCTATGGTGAGCTTTGCAGTGCTGTGCTGTAACCCATTATGCCACCAGGGAGGGCCCTGGTTTTATATTTTTGACCCTACAGAAATTTTCTGTATTTTTTTCTCTATGTTCTCTGATTGTTGGCTCCAAGGAAGAGAAGAAAGAACTTTTTTCCCCTCTGAGATAACAAACACATCAATTCTTCCTTCTATTCTCTTGACTTCATTTTACATTCAATTATCTGGCTACCTAGTGAAAACAGAGAGATGAGTCTGGTTGATGATTGATTTTCCAGATCTTCCAGTGGCAGATATTTGACTAAACCTTACTTTCTATATTAATATAATATTTTATCTGCATTGATTACAGTTTCTCACATATTGGAACAAGTAGTATTTTGTTCCATTGATATGAACAATATGAACAAGCACTTTTCAGAAAAAGTACATAGAGATGGCCAAAATATCTGTCAAAAAAATTAATAAAAGCTCAACCTCCTTCTTCAAGATAAGTAAATCAAAAGAATGAGATAGGATTTTCACCTATTGGTTTTGGCAAAAATGTGAAAGCTTTAAATTCTGTCCTGGCGATGTTCTGAAAAACAGGCATTTCTCATACTCTGTTGCTATAAATATAAGAGAGGGCTGCTTTTTTGAAGAACAATTTGACAGTTTTTTAAAAATATTTATTTATGTGTACAAGAACTGAAGTCTAGGGGGGGTGAGAGGATTCATTAGAGACAGAATGGGGAGCAGAATTGGTGGATCCACTGCTGAGGGGAGCAGCAGGTGAGACAGGAGAGATCTGCTGCACCATATGGGTCAACTCCCTGGCCGGGGACTGATCTCTTGCTTCAGTGGATTGACAGTGCTTCCCTTTAACCCCTTGTGCCATCAGGGAGGCCCCTGTTTTTTTTTGGCTTTTAAATGCATGATTCTTTGCTCCAGCATTATCACTGCTAGGAATTAGCCCTATGGATATGTTTGCAAAAGTATAAGTGCACAGCTATGTTCACTCTTGCCCAGTATGTAATTGCTAAAATCAAAATGGTGTACATCTTAAATGTGTGTCCATCGAGAACTGGATAAATGACCTCTGGCCCATAAACACTGCAGCAGTTACAAAGAGTGAGAGAGACTCATATGACTGGATATGCATTAATTGCTACCATATCTTAAGTGAAAAAGTTTGCAGAGGGCCCTCCCTGGTGGTGCAGCGGGTTAAAGCACAGCACTAAGAAGCTAAAGCCACTTCCGCATGAGTTCGATTCCCACCTGCCCCGGAGGTGATCACATGGCAGCAGACCTCTTCAGACCCGCCCACTGCTCCCCTCAGCAGTGTACTTCGTCGATCTGCCTGTTCTGCTCCCCACTCTGTCTTTGCTGAATCCTCTCACCGCCCCTGCATCTCTGGCCTGTACCCCAGTTCTGTATGTACAAATAAATAAATCTTTTTTTAAATGACTAAAAATAGAAAGTTTGCAGAAAGTAAACATCACCTGATGCTTTTGTATACATTTACATGCATATACTTGCACATATAGGCTTGTGTGCATATATAAAATATGCCAGCTTTGCTTTAGAAGGACTTTGTTGTCAACCTTCGAGGAGAGAGGGTAGAAAGAGGAAAGCTTTTGATTTTCATGATATCTTTCTGAATTCTTCAGTCCTTCTAGCGATGATGTGTATCACTTTTTCTATTGTCAGAAGGGTTTTTCTGGGTGTTGTGTTTTGGGGCATTTTGTTTTCTTTATACTAGTTTATTACTTTTATACCTAGTCAAGAAATGGAGGATTGACTGGAAAGGTGCTGAGGTACCTCATTCGATCAAAGGAAATCTGTCTGCAGGAGAAGACGAGTGCAGCCGGGCCTCAGGATGTCCTGGGACCGGGGAACTTTCCTGCCTACTTGTCTTTGAACACTGGCTGCCTTTTCTCTCACATGAGCTGAGGGATGAAAACGGCCTCCTCATGCCATCTACATTTCTTATCACACTTTCTGTAGCAGAGACTTACTTCCTGAGTTACTGTTTCACATCATTCTCAGGGTTTCCTCCTCTGAACCCATTCATTCTGGCCAGAGGGGGGGTGTCTCAAGGTACCTGGTAGATTCCTGGAGTCACATGAAAGAGAAGTAATTCTCAGTGGAAAGCAGGGTGCTGAAGCTAGCACTGAGCTAGCCCACACATTCCTTCACTTATTCTTACTTGTTTAGGAATTTTTCTCGAGCACCTACTATGTGCTAAGCTCTCTGCTGTGTGCCGTGAACATATATATAAACCACAAATCTCCCAGCCATCACAGAGGGAGATAATCTAGAACCAATCTAGAGACAAACTAGTTTCTGCTTTACCTCCCAGTCTGGGTTCAGCCAAATTCACTGTCCCTGTTTACAAAAGAAAGAGGAGCTCTTGTTCGTTGTATGCAGAGGGGGCCCTCCTCAGACCAGTCTGGGAATATCTCTGCTATGTGGGCACTGTTGGCTCACAAACTGAAGCCTGGCAGGCTGGCTGGGGCACTGCAGCTGTTTTGCGGCACCAGCCAAGAGCTAGTAGGTAAAGGGTGTGGTTTCCTGTAGAGCTGAGATGTTTGGGTCTAGTTTGGAAGTCAAGGAGTCCACAGAAACAAAAATCATTACGCAATCCAGGTTCTGAGGAATTTGCTCTATGAAAATACAAAACTCAGGCTTGAGTCAGGTGTTTGACTCCACCAACTCGGCAGCAAGTCAGTCCCCGAGGCAAGAGTCACACAGTAAACAGGCGTCAACACTGGCCAGACAGGCTGCTTTGGTGGGTGGGGGCAGGGTGGTATTGGAGAAGAGCCTGGCCCGGAGGGAAAGGGTGGGGAGGGGGAGGGACAAAAAAAGAGTTCCTTTGGGAGACTCACCAGAGAATGGTTTTCTGCTACTGGTTCTGGAAAAGATGTTCGTGGGACTCACTGCATGGAGCAAGATACCCACCCACGAGGTCCGGGCTGGGACTGTGGCAAAGTGCTGTCTTGTAGAATGTGACATATATCTGGGCTCAACAACCCAAGCTGTACAACACATGGGTTTGGGGATCAAGGGATGGGGATTTCTACTTTCTCTCCTACCCCCAAACTACTGTCCTAAATGCAGTGATCCAAACACGATTATACCACATTGTTTTTTTTTTTTTTTTTTTTTTTAAAGATTCATTCATTTATTCATACAGAACTGGGGCACAGGTCAGAGATGCGGAGGGTGAGAGGCTTCACCAGAGACAGAGCGGGAAGCAGAACAGGCAGATCGATGAAGCACACTGCTGAGGGGAGCAGCGGGCGGGTCAGGAGAGGTCTGCCACACCATGTGGTCACCTCTGGGGCAGGCGGGGATCGAACTCATGCGGAAGTGGCTTTAGTTTCTCAGTGCAGTGCTTTAACCCGCTGCGCCACCAGGGAGGGCCTATACCACATTGTTTTTATATGATGTAGGTGTGTGTGTGTGTGAGACCAACTGCTATCTGTGATGTAGTGTTGGTTATTTAGTTGAGGGTTAGTCCATAGTTTGGAGGGTGGATGAAAATCTCCCCTGAAGGAGACCATAAACCCAAGGACATGGGACTCTGTAGTTGAGTTTTCCCAAGGGCCCCAGGGGCTTCATCGCTGGGGAAGCATCGTGTTTCAGTCCTGCAGAGATGGCACAAGTCCCTTTGAGAAGCAGTGAGAATGGGATCTTGACAGTGTTATAGGAACTGATGAGTAGAAGGCAGGGTGGGTTTGTAAATGGTGGAAGACTCTGGAAATATCCTTGGTAAACAGGGAAGTCTTAAGCCAACTCATGGTCTGCATCCCTTACTGCCTGCACCCTCTGCTGCATAGCATTAAGCAGGCAGCAATGGCAGTGGAGGCTGGACTGACTGATTCTGTAGAGAGCAGCCAAGACGAGAGGGCCAGCTCATGGTGATGGAGGAGGCTGCAGGAACTATGAGAAAGTAGAATCCACATAATAGGAAAGAGGCTACAAAGTAGAGACGGGAGGCAGGCTGACAGGGAGAGACACAGAGCACAGAGCAGAGGGAGGCGTGGCAGGTCCTCACAGCAGCCTTTGCTGCTGACACAGGTCCAGTCCCCTTTCTGTGGAAGCCCACCGGCATCTGGCTTGTGGATTCGATTCTTGCAAAGAATTCATTTCATGGCTCAGCCTTTGTATCTTTTTGACAATTCTGGTGTCACTGTTCTTAGATCTCTCCCTCCTCCTTGAGGCCATGTCTGACTCATCTCTCATAATCTTAGTGTCCGGCCTCATGTATGGCACCTTCTAGATACCCATTAATGTTTGAGTAAATAGCTATCACCACTCTTGACCCTGACTCAGAGACTGTGGACTAAGCGGCAACATAGATTTGAGCCAATACATGTATCATCCAGGAGCAAGTAGGTGAGGTGAGCCTAATAATTTCCTCCTGGGGTCTGAAGTGGAAAACGTAGACTAAGGCAGTGGAATCAGAGGCTTCGAGGCTGTGAGGGAAATGGACCAGCACACTTGGTGTCCTTACCAGTTATATAGGGCAGTTATGAAGGACCTCTTAAGTTGAGGAAGGAGACCCAAAAACAACAGACATGAAAGTGCTCTGTGGCATGTGAGATGAACCCAGGTGTGCGTGATCAGTGAAGCTGATCGACGGCTCTCTCCAATTATTGCCAATCTACCTGTGTGACCTTGGACCTGAACTTGGAGTCTTCTTTCATACATTCAGGACAATGGTCATCGCGCTATTGGCTTGGTGTGAGGAAGCAACATGTAAGTGCTCAGTCCAGTACTACCTGCCCCAGGAGGAAATGCAAGAGTAGCTCCCTACAAAACAAATTGTTGGCACCCCGTCTTTGCCATTCTCCTAAACCACAGTTCTCTAGGGAGTCTGGATTGAAAATAAACACTCTAGGTGATTGATGAAGGTTGTCCAAGACCACTTTAAGAAACCCTGAAACGACCCACAAGGTGGCAGCAGGGAGCAACTGGCCAGTCTGGCCATTCTGAGATGGCGCGAGATGGAAGGAGGTAGGCCCTGCCTTTAGCCCATCTCCTTTGCCAGCTGGCGTCTATTACTGCAGACAAATCTCCTGTGACTGCGGGCTTCATTACCAGGCCTTTATGGAGACTCTGCTTTTGCTAAACTGGACAGAAACTGTGTTAGTGAGACCTTGGCAAAGCTATGGGTGACAGTCATGTGTGTTCCACACAGGTATGTATAGGAGGCCTCGGAAGGCACTTGCACATGGCAGCTTACTAAAAAGGTCCTATCCCTCAACACCAGGCTGCAGTTCCAGGTGCCCTTCAAGGACCTGTCTGCCTGCATCAGGCCTGCTCTACTCATGAGACAGACGGTCAGCTCTCTGGTCAGGGAGCTGGCTGAAGACCAGGCAAAGGATGCTGGGAGGGGGCGGGGACAGGAAACAGAGGATGGGGCAGCTGCCTCTGGAAGCAGCCAAGATGTCCCTGGCTGCAGCAGGGGTGGGCAGAGGATTGGGTGACAGTCCCCTCACCCCGCCCGGAACTAACACTCTCCTCCCCTGCCTCCACACACCCTGGCCTGCCCTCTCCCTATCCTGCCACAGCTCAGAATAACCCTGACACCAGACACCAGACAGTGGGATGGCAGGGGCCATACTGGGCACCCTGCTCCTCTTGCAGGTCCTCGGTATGGAAGGGGTTGGGGAGATGGATGGACACATGTAGAGATACCAAGTAAAGGGACTAGATAGCACAGAAACCGAGATGTAGACTGAGATGGGACATTTGGTCCCCAGGGGCAACAGCAATGGTTCAGGAGACAGACACAGAAGAATCCACAGCATCAGAGCTAGAGAAGCAGAGACCTGCACAGATCCAGCGGAGGCAGTGAGGGGCCCCCTAGCCTCTTCGTCTCCAGTGACCCCATTGTTTGATCCCCCACCCCAGCCAGAGGTGCCGGGGAGAACGAGGAGCTACGTCTTTATCACCATCTCTTTGACAACTATGACCCAGGATCCCGGCCAGTGAGCGGACCTGAGGACACTGTGGTCATCACCCTCAAGGTTACCCTGACCAACCTCATCTCACTGGTAAGGTACTGCTACCCTTCTCCATCCTAAACTTAAAACCCCACTTCTGGTCCCAACCATTGCACAGTCCTAAAGCTCAATTCTAGTGCTGAGATCCCCACTTCTGCGTCCTAAATCTCCCACCCGCAGAATGAGAAAGAGGAGACCTTGACCACCAGTGTCTGGATTGGAATTGTAAGTCGAAACTGGGGAATAGCATACGGTCTTGCTTGCCCAAGGGACGCCTTTCTCTCAAATTCTTCTCGGTGCCAGGTGGGAGTTATGGGGCACATGTCCTTCTACTCACTACCCCTTAGGACTGGCATGATTACCGACTCAACTACAGCAAGGATGACTTTGGGGGCATAGAAACGATACGGGTCCCTGCAGAACTCGTATGGCTGCCAGAGATTGTGCTGGAAAATAAGTGAGGACTGGGTGAATACTGGAGGGAAGGTGCAGCAGCGGGGGGAGGGGGTTGGGCTGCTGTGGTTGGGCAGGTTGTTGCTTGGAGGGCAAGGTGGCCATGGACCTGTGTAAACACTCGACTTCCCGGAGCCCACAGTATTGACGGTCAGTTTGGCGTGGCCTACGACGCCAACGTGCTGGTCTACCAGGGTGGCTACGTGAGCTGGTTACCGCCGGCCATCTACCGCAGCACCTGCGCCATAGAGGTCACCTACTTCCCCTTCGACTGGCAGAACTGCTCGCTCGTTTTCCGGTGGGAAGTTACCCAGAGGCTGGGAAGATGGTGGAATTGTGGGGGCAGGGAATGGGATTAGATGGAATGGTGGGGGACGTCTAACCCCAAGGTGGGGCATTGCGGGTGCGCTACTGGAGAGATGTGGGGCTGCCAGAGCTGGTTAGACCTGGAGGTGTGGGCGAAGGGGAAGGGCTTGGATAACGGGCGTGGAGCTTAGTAACCCCAGAGCCAAGCTTCCTATCTGAGCTCCAGGCAGGCCTGGGTCTTAGCTTTCGGGGTGTGGCCCTGGGCCCTGGCTCTGCAGCTCTCAGACATACAATGCCGAAGAGGTGGAGTTCATCTTTGCTGTGGACGATGAAGGCGAGACCATCAGTAAGCTCGATATCGACACTGAGGCCTATACTGGTGAGGTTCCCTCTTGCCCCCGAAGAAAATCCCACTTCTAGACGAGGTCCAGAGAGGTGACCGGTAGAGTGGGGTTGTCTCAGACCAGCGTTACTGGGGTTTGACTCTGGCCAGGGCACTTTACCTCGCCCCTCTCCTGACCATTCTCGACTGTCAGATTAGTCTGCTTCCTCACTGGCACCTGCACCGGAACACTCCTTTCAGCGGGAATCGCCCTCTTTCCCACGACGCAGGGCCCTACCCACCCTCACCCACACACAGCGTCCTCTCCTCGGGGTGGTCGGGACTGAGAGCAGGGCAAGGGCTCCACCTTGGAACGCAGGGGACCATGCCTCATATTTTGCAGAGAATGGCGAGTGGGCCATCGACTACTGCCCGGGAGTGATCCGCCGCCACGATGGTGGCTCCACTGACGGCCCTAGGGACACTGACGTCATCTACACGCTCATCATTCGCCGGAAGCCGCTCTTCTACATCATTAACATCATCGTACCCTGCGTGCTCATCTCTGGCCTCGTGCTGCTCGCCTACTTCCTGCCGGCGCAGGGTAAGGGCAGCTCCTACCCGAAACCTGGGACCCTTTCCTGAGGGGCGGAGCCAGCTCTCACCAGGGGCTTCCTCCAGCCGGCGGCCAGAAATGCACAGTCTCCATCAACGTCCTGCTCGCCCAGACCGTCTTCCTGTTTCTAATTGCCCAGAAAATCCCAGAGACGTCTCTAAGCGTGCCGCTGCTGGGCAGGTGAGTTCCGAGGGTCTCGCCACGCCCACGCGGGGCGTGGTCAACGCGAAGGGCGGAGCCTACACTCGTGGGGGCGGGGCGAGAGGGGCGCGGTCGGGGAGGGCCCAACCGCGAATGCTGGAGCAACTTTAGCAGACTCGTCCCCTCCTGGGCTTTATTTGGAGGCTGAATGGGGCTAGGGCGGTAGTAGACGCGCCGGCTCCCCGTCCTCCTCATTGCTGCTGCTCGCCACCTTGAGGTCTCCTGAATATGTCTGTTGAGGCCGGGTCAGTTCAGCGCCTCCACAGCCTGGCCCCCAGCTCATCACGCATTCTGAACTCACCGGTTCCCCGGGAGTTCCAAGGCCCAGTTGCTGTTGCCATTGTTGCAGAAGTGAGGCCGACCCTTGCAGACCCCGTCCACACAGGCATAACCACGTCCCCTGGAGGAGGAGCCGGGCGCTGGCGCCCGCCGCAGCCCCGGCTTGCCAAGCCGCCTGCCCGGCGGCCAGGGCTACCCGGGCCAGCGCTCCACCCGGGTTCCCGGCGTTCGGGGCCGGGCCCGGGCCCGGGCTTTCGTCGCCTCCGTCTAGTCGCCGCACCTCCTGCTGCAGCCACAGGGCTGAGATCTGCAGTGGTGGTGCAGGAGTTAGTGAGGCTGCAGAGGTCCCCGCTCCCGCCCGCCCCCCCTTCCCTGCTTCTCGCAGCCTGCAGCTTCCCACCTCTAACAAGGTGGCGCCGAAGTTCAAGACGCTGGCCACCGCTTCTCTTAACACCAGCCCCAGCGTGGGCTTCGGGGTGGGAGGCTTCTTCCGCTCCTTGGGCTCCCGCAGCTCCAGGGACTTAAGCTTTCTGAACCTCTGCTCCAGATACTCATGGGCTGCGGCCACAGCGAGTTCCAGGGAAGATAGAAGCGGGGGCTGGAGGGCCACCTGGAGAAGGAGCAGGGGCAAGGGACTCATCGGGTCATGGGGCAGAAGTGGTGGGGAAGGGCTGGAGACCGCCCCAGAGGGTCTCGCGGTGCCATCCTTGGGCGGGACCGTCGGCGTAGCCTCACCTCGGTGGAGCTGTGGAAGTGGTAGACCCACAGCAGGGTTTCCAGGGAGCTGGGGTTCTCTTTCGTGTCTGCCATGGATGGTAGGAGGGGGAGAAGGGCAGGGGGGCCCGTCTGGCCCGGGAGAGGAGGAGCAGCTGAGGGGAGTGGCTCCATCCCTCGCGGAGAGGTGTGTTTGTGAGGTCAGAGGACGAGCGGCACCCTCTAGTCAGAGGGGAGGCTGTGACGTCACGCACTCTGGGCTCTCCAGATTCCTCATTTTCGTCATGGTGGTTGCCACGCTCATTGTCATGAATTGCGTCATCGTGCTCAACGTGTCCTTGCGGACGCCCACCACCCACGCCATGTCCCGGCGGCTGCGCCACGTAAGTGGCGGGTGCCAGGCTGGCGGGGGCGCGGGTAGGCGGGGTCTCGAGCTAATTCCCGCCCGGCCCCCAGGTTTTATTGGAGCTACTGCCACGCCTCCTGGGCTCGGGCGTGCCCCCCGAACCCCCCCGGGCCGCCTCGCCCCCCAGGCGGGCGTCGTCGGTGGGTATCTTGCTCCGCGCGGAGGAGCTGATCTTGAAAAAGCCGCGGAGCGAGCTTGTGTTCGAGGGGCAGCGGCACCGGCACGGGACCTGGACGGGTGAGCAGGGTGGCCCCGGAGAGCCAACGCGGGCATCGGCAGCGGGTGAGGAACCTAATATCCCACCTCGGCGTGCCCTCACCAGCTACCCTCTGCCAGAGCCTGGGCGCTGCGGCCCCGGAGATCCGCTGCTGTGTGGATGCCGTGAACTTCGTGGCTGAAAGCACTCGAGACCAGGAGGCCAACGGCGAGGTGGGGCGGGAGTCAGAGGCGGGGTGGGGCGCTGTTAAGGTTCTCCACTCCCTGCTGCACGCTGCAGCCTTTACAGACACGAGTGTGTGCCCACCCTTACTCAGGAGGTGTCTGACTGGGTGCGCATGGGGAAGGCCATGGACAACATCTGCTTCTGGGCAGCTCTGGTGCTCTTCAGCGTCGGCTCCAGCCTCATCTTCCTCGGGGGCTACTTCAACCAAGTGCCCAAACTGCCCTTCCCGCCCTGTATGTAGCCCTGAGCCCCTGGCCTGACCCCCACTTTCCCACCCATGTCCAGGAGGAAGTAGATTTTGAAAAACAAGTTGCTGCCCCCGCAGTATTATGATGCTTTCCCACTGCGGGCAAATCATCGCTAGTTTGTAAATTCCCAAGAGATTTCTGTGCGGGCATGTATGTAGGTCTGGCCACTGTGCAGCAGGGGTCAGACGCTTCAGGTAGGCTGCTGGGTGCCAGTCTTCTAGAAAGCAAGGATACCTGCCATTCAGCCTTTCCCACCCAGTTTTCTTCAGGCCCCAGTCCCATGTGACCTTCTGAACTACTTTACCCACCTGATAGTGAAACAAGAGATCCTTTTAGCAGGACTCCATGCAGGGAGGTTGGAGTGAGGGAGTCAGGCCCCTCTGACCTGGCTCTGCTGGAGTGGGCAGGGGCCAGATGCCCTCAGCACAGGTCCCCTGGCTTAAGGCTGAGGATACCCTGCTCTGTCACTTCCTCTAGGTTTTCCTGACCCAGCACTGTCCACCCCCCACTCCTATGACTCTCTCCTGCAGATACTACTTCACCCTGCCTCCTCTATCTGTCCTGTGCTTGCTCACCCTGGCTGGTATCTGAGATTGAGAGAAGACAAAATCAAATGGGCCTGAAATGGTGGGAGCTGGTTGAATTGTCTTTATTAACAAACGGGATATCCAAGGCCACTACATTGAGGAGGGAGGGTCAGGGAGGGGACAGGGCTACTTGCTGCTCACACTATATACAGATGCAAGCAAGGGGGTGTGGACGGTGAGAGCTTCCTGCTCCCTCCCTCCACCAGTGAAGGCAGAGGTTAGAAGAGATGGGAGGGTGGAAAGGGGGGAAATGTTTTGGCTGGCGGGGTCCCCCCTCCATTCCCTGGGGTTTGGGGGAGGGGAATCATTAAAGTGCTTTCAGAAAATGAGGAAATGGTCCCTGCCCCTGGAATGGCTGGTGACCCCCCCCTAAAACCTAGGGCCCAGTGACCCCCCCCAGGGTCTGGTACATTCAAGGGGGGAGCCGGCTCCCCTGACGTGCAAATAAAGGGGCCCAGGGCCCTGCCCAGTCAGCAGCAGTGGGGTAAGGGGTCCAAGCCCCAAACACTCTCCTCTTAAGTGGAGAAAAGGGGGGTGGGGTGGGGCTAGGCCCACTCTATTCCTGGTAAGGGGAAGCTGTGCCTCTCCCCAGAATTTGGGACAGGCACAGTTTTGGGGGAGAGAACATGTTGGGGAAGAGGATGGTCACGTGATCACAAAAGCATCAGGGTCAGAGGTCACGTTCCCAGCAGGCTCCAGTGAATCAAACCAGTAAAAGCAAAAGCCCAGGGAGGGGAAAGAAGGGCGGCCTGGGAAGTCTGGCTTCGAGGGAGAGCTGGGTCCAAGTGGGAGAGCCCCAGCCCAGGGCCCTGTCACCAGTTCATGATGCAGTTACGGTTCAGAGTCATGAAGTAAACTTGGCTGCTGCCCCCGGAGCGGACTGAGGCAAAAAACACCTGGGTGGGACAGGAGCAAAAGTCACCAAGGGAAGGGGACAGGGTGTCTCAATTAACTGAACAGGAGAGAGGGGAAAAAGAACAACTGCAGAATTTCGCCTCCGAGTGCCCCTTGTCCCCTCCAAAGGCAGAATGCTTGGGGAAGAGGGTAGCTGGCCGAACCCTGGAATGAGGGAATCTGGAGCAGTCTAAACCGAGGGCGAGGACCCCATGTTGTGCTCCCCAGGGGCCCCCTTTCAGGAAGACTCATAACTGTGCTCCCCCAACTCTGCCCAGGGGCCCAGGCCATGGGAGACAGTCCAGTGTGGGACTGTCAGAGGGAAAGAAGGTCTCCCACCTTGTCGTTCCGCTCACACAGGAACTTGAGCCTCTGGGCTCGTTTGTGCATGAAGACCCCGTCCAGGTGGCCCGTCTCCACGGAGCGGATCTCAATGGCTTTCTCGCCCCAGCCCATTATCTGGTTGGAGCAGATGTAGGCTGGGGGGAAGGAGTGGGGGGCAGTGGGTCAGCTGCAGCCCACCCCACTCCTGGGCTAGCTCAGGACAGGGCTGGGGCTGGGCGCCTCACTCACCCACAGAGGTGGGCATTTCTCCCCACTGCAGCACCACATCCTTAATGATCCGCCCGTACGTGTTGACGTAGACGCCCTCGTCCTCGTAGCACAGCAGCATCTCCATGCCGTCAGTGTTGGGGAGGAAGATGATGGCATGGGGTGTGATCTGGCTCTGGATCTGGGGAGAAGGTGGGGTGGAGGCTTTTGGTTGCTGCTGGGAGCCAGCTGCTGGCCCTTCCTCCGCCTGCAGGCCCGCCAGGCTTACATGCACAGGGATGTAGATGTCATAGCTGTTCCCCGAGTCGACATCCACAGCATGGAAGCCAGCGCTGGAGCCATAGATGACCTTGAGCCGCTGTCCCTCCTCTACTGTCAGGTCGACCAGCAGAGGGCGGTGAGGGAGGTCGGCGAAGGACTGTGCCAGAGAGAAGGGCTCAGGAGACAAGGGGGAAGAGCCAGACCTTGAGGCAGTGTGGGGGGCTGAGGCTGGGGATTACCTTGAAGGCCATGAATTTGTGGTAGGGTTTGGGGGCCCAGGCATACACCTCCACGGAGTTCTTGAGGGCGATGACCAAAAACTTAATACGTTCGTATTTCACTGGGAGCAGAAGAGAGGAGGGATGCCAGTCACCTCCCGTAGGCCTGTCAGCACAACCCCAGCACTGGCCCCAAGTCTCTCATTTAAAGCTTTTTCTAGCTGTTAGGCCCAAATCTCCCACCCCGTTCCTCTCTTCTTGTAACAAATGTGCTCTGGCAACTCTGCTATGACCTCCTTACCAACACGGTAATGCCCACAGCCCTCCATGTCCCCCACAGTGGTCCAGCCCTGCTTCTTTTCCACTTCTGGGTCATTGTGGAGAATCTTGTTCCGGAGCCAGGACAGGTAATACACCCGCAGTTTGTTCCGTTTCCCTGGGACACACACACGTTTGCTTTCTCACTGGAGGTACAGCTTCTGCCTCCCACCATCCTTTATCTTTGTGCCCCAATGAGAAAATGCGTCTCCACCTTCTGGCTCCTGGCCAAAGGCTACGCTCCTCCCAGGTTGCAGATGGTCACAGAGAGCCAAGGAGCTGAGCCAGCCCCCTCTTCCCAGCTCTGCCCCTCTTCCTGGCCCCCTCTCCTCCTTCCTGTGCCCCCCGACATACACACACCTGAGATGGTGATGAGCAAGTTGAGTCCTTCCAGCACATCCATTTGCTGGAAGCGTCGCCTTCCGATGAGTCCATACACCTTGCCCTGCCCACTTCGGTCCAGCAGCATCAGCCCATTCTCCGTGCCCACCAGCAGGTTGACCCCTGCAAGAGCAGCCCTTGAGCACATCAGAGCCAAGCCAGGCCCTCACTGACCTGGAACGCAGGACACCACAGAGACACCTTCCTCCTCAGCCCGGGCTTACCCCAAAGGGCTGCACAGAGGATCTCAGAATTGAATCTCTTCTTGTACTTCCGGATCTCAGGGGTCTCACTGTGGGCCCGGGTGTTGGTGGGGTTCACGTTGACAACAGAGCCTTTCCTCACATCATACTGTAGCTGATCAAGCCGACTACCCTCTCCACCCACGAGGGCTGCAAGAAGAGGGGTGTGTGCTGTAGCCCTCTTTCTCGCCTCTATGCCCCACCCACATTTGACTAGCTCCTCAGAACACTCAGAAGGAAAGGGAAAGGCTGGACAGAGATGGAGGGGGTGCACTGAAGAGCTGAAACAGATCCAGAAGACTGGCTTGCACCCTCATCTGTCATTCATGTTCCTAGGCTACTCCCAGCATTTCTCCCCTTGGGCCAAAGCCCCTGTGCCTCTACAGGCCAGCGCTCAGCCCAAGGGGAGGCCGGTTATTGCTTTGTCAAGCTGCATGCCCTGAGGCCCACTGCGCCCTCTCCAGAGTCATGGCAGCACTCCCATCCTCACCTGTGATGGGGATGGTGTCCCCACTGCCTCCTGGCTGGTAGATCCCTAGGTCCACAAACATCGTGAATGAGCTCTTGCCAGGGGCCTTAACCAGCCCACGAGACTGGTACTGTGGGGGTGGGACAGCAGTCAGGACAATACTGAGATCCTAGCCCTCTCCCTGGGCTCTCCCCTTCCCCCCAACTCTGGCTAATTATCTCCCAGGCCCTCCACAGTGCCTCCCCAGCAGGCCCCAGAGCTCCTGCCCATTGTCCTCAGATCCTCCTGCACATGCTGCTTACGTCACTGCCGCCATCCTTTGTGGGGGGGCTTTGACCTTTGCTGCTTTCGGTGGGCGAGTGGCTGGGCTGTACCACATCGGGCAGGTTTGTGTAACCGTTGCTGTCTGCATGCAGCAGGCTTCGCTCCTCTTCAGGAGTCTAAAGGAACAGAGGGAAGGGACCAGTGCTAGGCCAAGGCAGGCGCACAGCAGGCACTGGGGAGGAGGAGGCGGAGGGGCCTACTCACGCGCTGGACCACCATGGTGCCACCCCCATAGGGGGTCTGGGTCCCGGCTATCTCCTCCACATCATGGACCACCATGGTGCTGACGCTGTCTGTGTCCCCGTCGCTGCTGTGAGAGAAGAAGGTCATGGGTCCCCAGGCCCTGTCTGTCCCATGGCCTCAGGCACCAGCCAAGCACAGGAGGGCCAGGACGCTCTGCTCTATTCACAACACTCCCAGCAGCCCTCACGGACGGAGCGGCCTGGGCCCCGCTGTAGGGTGTACTGTGCTGGCACTTGGTGAAGCCGGTCCAGTGCCCCCCACCCCCAGCTCTGCTGCACTGACAGGACAGTGGCAGAGAGAAGGGGGACACCCATACCCCAACCTCTAGAATAAAGGGAGGATGAACTGACCACTGATGAGCAAGAAAGGCCAGGGTCTCTACTCGGGAAGGGGAAAGACTTGCTCAGAGCCCCACCTCTCTCCCATGCCCAAGTCCTTTCTCTCTCCCAGGGCACCCCCATACCGGGCCCCAGGAACATCTCTGCTCCCCTCGGAAGGCTCGCCATTGCTTTCCTCCTCGTCATCGTCACTGCTCTCCACCTCCTCACTGGATGAGGAGTAGTCCATGGCTTTTTTGGGAGGTCGGGGGGCTTCCTCCAGGGTCCGATCTTTCAACAGGAAATCCTGCAGGGGAGGAGCTGTGTGAGGGGCGCGGGAGGTCGCACGGGATGCCAGAGAAGGGGAGATAACAGAGGGGTTCCCGCGAGCGGGCCCTAGGCACTAACCTCACCAATTGCTCGCTTATAGCTCTGGGAGGGGCCGCAGGGAAAGAAAGGCAGCCAGAGAGACAGGAGAGAGGTCATGGAAAGTTAGTGACTGAAGTGCCCGCAGCAGCCCTTCCTTTCACACAGGTGGACCCAGGCCCGCCCTCGACACCCAGCTCCCACTGTGGCTGCCACACCCAGTGCCCAAGTGCCCGGCCCAGAGAAGGCAAGGCCAGAGAGGCCATTCACGGCTTACTGCGGGCCGGCCTGGCCGGGAGCGGTGGTCGTCAGGCTTGGCTTTGTTCCCAGGGGAGAGCACTGGGGAGCTGTCCACTTTGGAGGAGGCTGCGGAT